CTCGCTACCCCAGTCTTGGAAGGGGAAGGATCAGGCAGTCCCCTTGTGTGAGCGCAGGTGGTGGGGGTCCCAGGTGATCTGGGAAGAGGCCAGGGGCGAGGGAGGGCCCCGGAGCCGCTGGTAAGGAGACGCTTCTGTTTTAGAATCAGTGCGTTGCTTTTCACTGTGCCCCTTCCCATCCCGCCTCGTTCCTCCCAAGTCCCCGCACAAGGATTCGCAAACCCTGCCCCTCCAGCCCCCGCCCCCCGAAGCTGCCACGCAGCTGGCTGGGAAAGGAGAGGAGGGGCGCGAGGAGGGTGGCGTCTCCGAGGGATTTAACCTCCTACCCTCACTTACATGACGCCACCCCTCCCTCCCAAGCCTGGGACTGCGCCTCCATTTTTGTTTTGGGGCGGAAGGGCAGGGGCTCCCGCATAGCAGGGGTCAAGGGAAGCGGTAATCATCACCTGTGACGGGAGAGGGGGTGCTGTCCTCCCTCTTCCTCAGTCTCTCACTGCACCCCTGCAGCCCCCCCAACCCTCTCAGGGTCTCCCCCCCCTTGTTGCTAAGGCCCGGACCGTCATCCCAGCAACAGCCTCAGTCATGTGACCGGCAATGGCGGCGCTGACGAGAGGTAGGTGAGCCCGGCGCCCCCCACACCCACTGCGCGCCCCCCGGCCCCCGCTCGCGGCCCCCTCACGCCCCCCCACCTCCTCTGGCATCCCCTACCCCCACGCACCGCGCCGGGGCCCCCCTCGGTGCCCGGCCCTTCATCTCTCTGATCCTCCGGCCCCGGCCTCCAGGCCTCCGTCTGGGGGTTCTGAGGGCCGCGATCAGGCCACCGTACACCACCCAGCTGGTGGTGAGGCTGTGGGGGCTTGGGCGAGTAGGGGAAGTGGGGAGTTGGGTCCAGGTCGGGACCTGGAGGGGGTCGTGGGGGGAGGGGTGGAGCTGCCACAGTGGATGCCCCGAGGGACCCTTGCCCTTCCGGGCTGTCCCTGCCTCCACCCTCTATCTGGAGGCCAGAACTGGGCCCGAGTCCGGCCAGGGCTGCCCCAGAGGAATCACAGACCCAGCCTAAGCGGTGGCCCCGCCTCCCTCTTCTGTGCCAGCAGGACTTGGAGCTAGGACACTTAGGTCCTAGGGGTCTCCCCCCCCCCCCACGTCGGGAAGGGGATGCTCCATCAGGGGCAAGCACTGGGGGCTCTAAGATCCAGTGTCACTTTCTGAATCCGAGGTCCATCTGGCCTTGAGCAGACTACGATGGAGGCACAAAGGGACAGCTGCTCCTTTTTGGATCAGATAAGAAATTGAGGTCACATGGCCCCTCTTTCTAGTTGACAAGCTGCATTTGGAGGTGTTGTGAGGACAGCCCAGTGACTGAATCTGACAGGGCTCAGGGACACCTCTGACCCCTCCAGCTGTGCCCCTGAGCCCTGCCCCTCCCTAAATGCAGACCCGGGAGCTGGCAAGCAGCCCCGCGGGCATGCTGGGTCTCAAAGGTGACGGTGAGAACTTTGTTACTGCAGGGGCCGCTGCCACTTTCTGCACCCCTAACTTCAGCTCACCGGCTTCAGGGCAGAGTTCTTTGAGAAAGTGGGAGCAGGACAAGGAGTTGGGGAGCACAGGGCAATTTCTTGTCTATGTGATCTGAGGAAGGTGATAAGAAAGCTCCACTGATGTGGGCTTCTGCTGTGTTGACTTATCTTACTTGGACCCTGGGCTTTTTGGGGAGCCCCAGAGCTGGCGCCGGGAAGAGGAAGGTTAACAGGTCACAGTGCCTCTTGCAACCTCGGGGGAGGCTGGGAATGGCATTCTGCAGGGGAGGAGAGTACCTGGGAGAAGTTTTGTTTCTGGGCTGCCAGGGAGAGAGAGAACATTTGCCATGGTAACTGTTAACCCTCCCCCAGCCCTGGTCAGCTGAGTGTGGATATAGAGGGGCTTCTGCTGCCGTCATCTTCCATGGGCTTTCCAGGTACTTGCCCCTTGTGGGAACCTCAGCTTCCACCCAGACATGGATCTCCTCCCTCCCGTGTCCCAAGTAACCCTATTCGGTAATCTACACTCAGAGACACACTCCTGCCTCTGTTTCAGGCTGCTGGGTTGGGACCTGTGGGAATTGGCAGAAGGGGTTTCTTACTTTTTCTCCTCTTCCTCCCCACCCTACCAGGTGATACAACCCACAAGTAGGGAGCAGGAAAGAGAGAGTGAGCCTGCATGCCAATTCTAAGCTCTTCAGGATCAAAGTGAGCAAAGGAGAGGGGGGCATCAAAACTCCCCAGAGGGCAGAGGGACACATTGTTTCTGTGTAGCGGGAGAATGGAAAGAAACAGCCAGACTGATGTTTCCATCATAACAAACAAAGTTATGGAAACTCTTGCCTTCAGTGGGTGCTGGGGTTCAATGGAAGGTAGAGCTGGGGGAGGGGCTGGGGGCTCAGCTTTGAGAGCATAGGGGTCATGTGGGCTTTGGCAGGAGCCTGATGTAGGAGGCACTGGCACCTGTCCATGGGGACCCCCCACCCTGAGTCCCTTTCACCCTGGGGGCAGTGTCGTTCGTCCTGTCCAGAATGGCAGCCTGTGGAGGCACCTGCAAGAACAAAGTGACTGTCTCCAAGCCTGTGTGGGACTTCCTGAGCAAGGAGACCCCAGCCCGGCTGGCCCGGCTTCGGGAGGAGCACCGCGTGTCCATCCTCATAGATGGCGAGACTTCTGACATCTACGTTCTCCAGCTCTCCCCGCAGGGCCCGCCCCCCGCCCCTCCCAATGGGCTCTACCTGGCCCGCAAGGCTCTCAAGGGGCTGCTGAAGGAGGCAGAGAAAGAGCTGAAGAAAGCTCAGAGGCAGGGCGAGCTGATGGGCTGCCTGGCTCTGGGGGGTGGGGGGGAGCACCCCGAGCTGCACCGCCCAGGCCCACCCCCGCTCCGAGCAGCCCCCCTCTTGCCCCCAGGGGCACGAGGCCTTCCTCCTCCTCCTCCTCCCCTGCCCCCTCCCCTGCCTCCCCGCCTCCGGGAAGAGGCAGAAGAGCAGGAGAGCACCTGCCCCATCTGTCTGGGGGAGATCCAGAACGCCAAGACGCTGGAGAAGTGCCGGCACTCCTTCTGCGAGGGCTGCATCACCCGCGCCCTGCAGGTGAAGAAGGCCTGCCCCATGTGCGGCCGCTTCTACGGGCAGCTGGTGGGCAACCAGCCCCAGAACGGGCGGATGCTGGTCTCCAAGGACGCCACCCTCCTGCTGCCCAGCTATGAGAAGTACGGCACCATTGTCATCCAGTACGTCTTCCCGCCCGGTGTCCAGGGGGTAAGAAGACCGTGGCCTTCCTTGCCTTCCCTTCTGGTCTTCCCCAGGCCCCTTCTCTGACCGAGGAAACTGGGTGAGGGGGAATGCATTTCTTAGACTCAGCCTTGCTGCCGCCTGGTGTGCCTTCCTGCTTCGGACCCTGGAGCTGGGAGGTCCCTTTCAGGCTCAGCTTTCCCATCCCCATGACTGCCAGGGCTCACATGAGTATCAAGTATGAGAGAAGGGAATTGCCTGTTATTGCCTCCGTGAGCCTGGACATCCACAGACATTCTCAGCAGAGGGAAATTCTAGGAAGGTGGTGGCTCCCGTGCAGGCAGGCTCGGCAGGAAGGGACCTGCCCGTCCAAACAGAGCTGTTATGCTGTTCCGGATTTATGGGAGAGTAAAACCTGGATGATGGGATTGGCCAAAGTCCTACAGGTGTTTTTCTGCTGTGCAAAGAGTAATGTCCACTTCCGGTGTGCAGAGGGAGGAGGTGGCTTGGAAGAAGAAAGCAAGGGTGGAACAGGTTAGGCAGGGGCAGAAGCATTAGGAGTGTTCGCAGGCGGAGAAGGGGAGGCGGAAAGAGACTTTATTTTCTACCTGGACTGTAATGGCCAGCTTCCTTCTATCACTTCTAAGAATCCTCTGACTGCTGAATTGAGACTGGAGGGGTTGGGACAGCTGTGGGAACCTCATAACAGTGAGGTTATCTGCAAGGCTGGCAGCCTATTGCTGCCCCGTCCATATGAGCTGCGGTTGGTTTCTGGGCCTTGGGGGTGCCCAGCTGCTCACGGCCCGCTCTGCTTCCCACCTTCCTTACAGGCTGAACACCCAAACCCAGGGGTTCGGTATCCTGGCACCACCCGGGTGGCCTACCTCCCGGACTGCCCTGAGGGCAACAAGGTGCTGACCCTGTTCCGGAAGGCGTTTGACCAGCGTCTCACCTTCACCATCGGCACGTCCATGACCACAGGGAGACCGAATGTCATCACCTGGAACGACATCCACCACAAGACCAGCTGCACAGGGGGACCCCAGCTGTGCGACACCTCTTCATCTCCCTGCCTTGGCTCCTCCCCCTCTCCATGGCCACCGAGGGCACAACGTCAGCCCCCTCCCGCTGGGAGCCCCCTAAGTGGAGAGGACCATGTCTTCCATCTCAGTTTCAGTTTCCTACATTCAACCTGGTTGGGAAGGGCCCAGCTTAACTTACAAAAAAAAAGAAAAAAAAAAAAAAAAAAAGCCAGACTTGGGCTGTTACCTTGAATTGGAAGTCCTTCCTAGAGGAGCAGGGGAGGAGTCCAAATGGGGGCCTCTCCTGAGTCACCCAGAATGAAGTTGCGCATCGGGTAGCAGGAGCAAGTCCCATCAGCTAACCCTGGTCCCCATTTCTCTTTGTTCCCAGGTTTGGGTACCCGGACCCTACCTACCTGACCCGGGTGCAAGAGGAACTGAGAGCCAAGGGTATCACAGATGACTGAAGGACATCCCCTTTGCCAAGGCCCCTGTCGTCCTCTACTAGGACCCACTGGAAGCCTCTGTTCTTCTCCCCCCCTGCCCTGTCCCCTCCACACCACACAAGTAGGGGACCTGTCTGACCGGGGAGGGAGCTCAGAGGGAGAGGGCCCACCCCTTCCCCTGTCCCTCACTGGCCAAGTGCTTCAGTGCCCTGTGAGCCACTCCCTTCTGGCAGAGGCTGATCCCAAGGCTCTGCTCCCACTCCCGGTGTACATACTCCCCGCTCCTAGGCCCTCCAGTGCCCTTGGCTTTTCCTGGTATGTGCTGTGCTCCAGTGACTAAACTGAGAAAGGACTGGGGTGGGGAGGGGCAGGGGGGGTCCCTGGAATCCCTACCCCCCATACTGCTTCACTGCTGAACTTCCTTGTGGGGGAGGAGGAATTGGGCTGATGTGAGCCCCCCATGGAGCCGGCTCTGTGTGTGTGTGTGTGTGTGTGTGTGTGTGTGTTCATCAGATACAGTTCTCCCACCCTAATCTTGTCCTTTCTCTCCTGTGTCTGTCTCTGTCAGTCTGTCTTTCCCTCGCTCTTCTCTGCCCCCTATAAGGAACCTCCTTACCCCCTTCTGGAATCGCCGCCAGACTGTAGCTTTTAATTTAATAAAAATAAAGTAAAATATGCAACTCTCTATGCCACACCCGTTGTGTTCCCTGCAAGGGTGGGGGCAGGATGGGGGAGTGGGGCTTGCGGGGAAGGGGCGGGGGGGGGGGTGTCTGGGAACCCCGGTGAGCCTTTCTGGCTGCCTCTGCTTGGGGAGGAGCTGCAGAAACGCAATGCGCGCTGTGGGCTCTGTAGCAACGCTGCGAAGCCCTGTCACGCGCTTCGATATTGGAATCAGGATCAAGAGGGGTTTGTTTGTTGTTGAGCTATGGTTGTAGAGAGAGGAACAACCCTACCCCTTTTGCAAAGTTTGGCTGGGGTGGGAGCAGGGGCGGAGCCGGGCAGGGGGCGGATTCGGCAGCAGCAACTCCCCGGACGCGCGCAGGCCTCAGAGCCCCCCAGCTTCCGTGCCCCCTCGGCCCTGAAACTTGGAGCAGGGTAGGGGTCCAGCATGAAGCCCCCGGACCGCCCCGCCCCTGGCCGCACTGACCGGATACTGGGGGTCATGGGGGGCATGCTCCGCGCATGCGCCGTACCCGGGCAGGATGGGGTAAGAAAGTGGGGATTACGGTGGATTCGGGGGGGTCTTTGGGGGCCCTCAGTAGCGCGGTACCTCCAACTCAGTTTACCTGCAAACAAGAGTTCTGCAGGGCAGTCGCGGAAGTCCGTGGGTTTCCATCCGATGGCCACAGATACGTCCGGGGAGACCCTTTTATAAAAATGTGGATTTTGACAGGCGGGAAGAAGGGGGGGGGAGGGGAGGTCAAGGCTGCCTGGGAAGGCGGGTTCCTTACGCTCCTCTGTCCCCGCAGCCCTCTAAGAGAAGCCCCCAGGGGCCGGGGTGTATCGAGCCAGAGGCTAACTGTGCCGAGGCGGGTCCGAGCCGAGAGCGCGAAGGTGAGGTCCTCGCCGGGCCTCCGCAGCCCGGTAAGGAGCAGCGGGTGGGATGGGGTGTGGTTTGCCATCCTGCGCGAAGTGGCGACTTCAAAAACATTCTGCTCTTGTTAGCATAAAGGCTGGCATCTAATTTGCACGAGACCCATGTAATCGCTGAGACCTCCACGCTGCTCGTCGCCCTCTTGTCCGATACGTGTCCCTCACCTCGGCCGCTCCCGAGCCCCCGCAGGCCGAGTGTCCCGCGCCCCACCCCTGGCCTCCCGCCAGCCCAGGCTCTGGGACTTCGCCTTAATTGGTGATTAGTCTCAGCTGGAGTCCCGGGGCCTGGAGGGAAGAGGGTCGGGCCACAGGGCGGCACCTGGATTGTGTTCCCCACAAAGGACTAACTCCCTAGACGCGCATCCCCTGGTGGTCCCCCGCCCGCGCGCCTGGGGACAGTCCCGACCCCAGGACAAATTCGTGCAGGCCACCTAGCTGTTCTCCACCACAGATGCAGAGGGGCGACCCAGGCCGACCCCGCCGACAGCCTTAACCCCCAGCCGGCGCTCCGCACGCAGCCCCAGCCCCGAGATGCGGGAGGCCGGAGGCCCGGGGCGGGGGAGCTCAGGCCTCGGAGGAGGGGCAGAGGCGCTGGGGACGTGGAGTGGGAACGTGGTGGTGCCTGCGGGAGGGGGAGGGGCGGGGGCGGGAACCCCGCGCGGGCAGGAGAGGGAGCGCTAGGGGGAGGCGGAGCCGGGCCGCAGAGGCCCCTCCCCGCGGCGGCACCGCGGCCGGGCCTGTTATTCGGCTCGCTCTCGGCCGGACCCGCGCAGCGCCAGTGGCTCGGGGAGTCGGCCCCCGCCTCCTCCCCCGCCCGGGCCGAGAGCCACCCCCCAGCCAGAGGCCGGAGACGGAGCTGGAGCGGCTGCCGCATCCCGGCCCAGCCTCTCCCACCCATCCTCCCCCACAGCTGGACATCTGGACCCTGGGCCCCGCACCCACAGGGTTCCGGAAGCCCTCTCCGCCCAGCTCGGCGGCTGGTCCCCCGCCGCCCTCTTTCCAGAGCCCCCAGCCCTCCTCCAGGCCAGACTTCCGTCCACCCCTGGACGCCCCCTCCCCATCCCATCCCTCCCCCCCTCCCCCAGCCTGGACCCGGGTAGGAGGGAGGGGGGGTGTGCGCCCTGCGCCATCCCCGCCCCGCCCCCCGTGATTCCCCCTGCATGGCCGGCCCGGGTGGGGGGCGCGGGGGGGCCCGGGCGCCATGCGGGGGGGGCACAAGGGGGGTCGCTGCGCCTGTCCCCGTGTGATCCGAAAAGTGCTGGCAAAATGCGGCTGCTGCTTCGCCCGGGGGGGACGTGGTGAGTGCGAGGTCCCAGATGTTGAATGGGGTGGGGGCGGGCGGGCTCGGGCTTGGGGCTCTAGGAGGGGGAACTGGACCAGGCGTTTTCCAGGAGAGTGACTTCAATAGAGGATCTCTCAGACCCCTTCTGCTTCCAGATTTCTGTCAGCTCAAGTTAAGAAGATTGGGGAAGGGGCAGGAGAGGCTTAGCTGGCAGTTAACTGGGTATGCGAAAACCCACCCACAATTCCCTTAGGCCTAGAACCAGGTACCTGCCTCTGATCTACTGGTGAAGGGGCCCAGGGGGGTGGAAGAATGAGGGGCAATGCATCGCAGCCCTGCGACCCCCAGCCCAGGCCAAAGCTAACCCTGACATGCTGGCCCCTGCTTGGGTTTGCACTGCTGTTGAGGGGTGGGCTGCAGAAGTCTTTTCTTTTTATAGTGATTACTGCCACTGGTGGAGGAGGGGTCTGGGGGTGGCAGATGGACTCTGAGCTCCCTCCACCCTTTCCTGGAGAATGGTCTGTACCCACTGGAAGGGGGAGGGTTGTAGGAGAGCAGATGGCCACCCCTAGCTTCCAGTGTCTGCCCAGATGGCTGCCCCCCCACAGTTCTGTGCTGTGTTCAGGATATGGGGTACTTCCAGGAGTCACTGGGGGTTCCAGGCCTGGGGGGCCAGATGTTTACTTGTCCTGAGAAAGTTTCTGTCCTGGCCAACAAAAATAAGGATGGTAGGAAAGCAATGCCCCCCAGGGGTAGGGTGGGGGGGACAGGCTGCTCCTCACCATGGGGAGGCCACCTGGGGTTCCCTGGGGCCCCTTAGACTAGAACTGGGGCAATGTCTCACTGTCTTTCTCTCTCTCTTTTTTTTTATTTTCCTCCGTTAGAATCCTATTCCGTTGCTGGCAGTGAGGGGAGTATATCAGCTTCTGCTGCCTCGGGTCTGGCTGCCCCCTCTGGCCTCAGCTCAGGCCTGAGCTCTGGCCCCTGTTCCCCGGGGCCCCCAGGGCCAGTCAGTGGCCTGAAGAGATGGCTGGATCATTCCAAACATTGCCTGAGTGTGGAAGCTGAGGCAGACGGTGGCCAGGCTGGACCCTATGAGGTGAGCAGAGAGCAGGACACCCCTGAAGGAGTCCGGAAGAGAGGACAAACTGGGGCCACTGGTCACTGGAGGAGACCTAGCTGCTCTCTGATCTCTGACATTTGACCTTTGACCTCAGAACTGGATGCTGGAGCCAGCTCTAGCCGCAGGAGAGGAGCTGCCAGGACTGACCTTACTGACCACGTTATTGGAAGGTCCTGGAGATAAGACACAGGTGTGAAGAGACGGCTGTGGCGTGGCTCCCCTCACCCAAGGGGCACATGTGCTGACCCTAGGATATACTTTGCTCGCAGCCCCGGGAAGAGGAGACTTTGTCCCAAACCCCTGAGAGCGAGGAGGAACAGAAGAAGAAGGCTCTGGAAAGGAGTATGTAAGTGTCCACACTGCGCCGTGCCTCCTGTTTTAGGTGAAATTCCCTCTGAGGCAGACTCTGGGGACAAAGGAGCATCTAGCCCAGGGGGGAGGAAGTGGCCAGATCAAGGGTGTGCCCAGACTCTGAATCCACCTGCTCCCTTCCCAGGTACGTCCTGAGCGAACTGGTGGAGACCGAGAAAATGTACGTGGACGACCTGGGGCACATTGTGCAGGTAGGCCTCTGACCTCTCCCAGCCCTGGCCTGGCTGGCCAGCCAGCCCTCCCCTGGGCCAGGGCTATTTTTGAGAGATACCTTTGGTCCCGCCCCCTCAGCCCTCCCTCCACTTCTGACAGGCTGCTTGGAGGGTGGGGTTTCCCAGCCCTTCTAGGGCCTCATGCTCAGGCTTCCATCCCGACCTTCCCACAGGGCTACATGGCCACCATGGCAGCTCAGGGGGTGCCCGAGAGTCTTCGCGGCCGCGACAGGATTGTGTTCGGGAACATCCAGCAGATTTACGAATGGCACCGAGAGTGAGTGACCCGGGTGACCTAAGGAGTGTTCGATATAGTTTTGTAGGGAGCACCTCCAGAGCAGCCCTCAAACTGGGGGATGACAGGGAGGGAAGGGCTCTGAAATGTGTTTGACCTGCCTTTCCGTCAACTCTGCAGCTATTTCCTGCAGGAGCTACAGCGGTGCTTGAAGGATCCTGATTGGCTGGCTCAGCTATTCATCAAACACGTGAGGCCTGGGAGGGGAGGGGCTTGGGAATGGGTTCCAGCTCTGGACGACAAGCCCTCCCTCCTTGCCCACCTTACTCTGTCTTCCCCCATTACCCCTGGTAGGAGCGGCGGTTGCATATGTACGTGGTGTACTGTCAGAATAAGCCCAAGTCAGAGCACGTGGTATCAGAGTTTGGGGACAGCTACTTTGAGGTCAGTAGCTGAGGTGCCTTATGGGGAGGACAGAATTGGCCCGAGCAGGCTTTTCCAGGCTGCATAACTGCTCTGTTCCCGTCCCCAGGAGCTCAGGCAGCAGCTGGGGCATCGCCTGCAGCTGAACGACCTCCTCATCAAACCTGTGCAGCGGATCATGAAATACCAGCTGCTACTCAAGGTCAGGGCCACCTGCTCCTCCCCACAAGGCCCCGCTGCCGTGACCCTCACCTGTCGAATAACCTCCCCAGGGATCTTAAGGCTCCCCCAGGCTTCCTGCGGGGTCCAAGCTTGTGTGCTTGGGGAGGCTGGGGGAGCATCTGAGGATGGCCTCCTGGCTCCCTGAGCCATTGTGCTGTGTGTCTTAGGATTTCCTCAAGTATTACAGCAGAGCTGGCATGGACACTGAGGAGCTGCAGGTGAGGTCCCTGGCTCTGCCTGCACACACCGTGTGCACCTTCCCCTCTTCCTGTCTTGGGTTCCCCCAGCCCTTGGGGCGGCTTGGAGCTGTCTGTTGCTTTGGGGAGGCTGGCTGGGGTCGAGGCGGTCTGGGGAAGTCTGGAGAGGCGGTTGGCTGGTTCTTGGTCATGATTCTCTTGGCCTCGCTGTGCTCCCCTCTCACCTGAGTCACAGCGAGCAGTGGAGGTCATGTGCTTCGTGCCCAAACGCTGCAACGACATGATGACCTTGGGGAGACTGCGGGGATTTGAGGTATGGGGGTAGGAGATGAGCTTGGCCGCCCTGTGTGTTCGGCCCCAGTCATAGCTCTCTGCAGGTTGCTGGGGGGGTGGGGGCAGCCCCTGCGGGCCGGGCAGTTGGTTGGGAATGTCTGGGAGGGGACGTTCTCCCTCCAGGGTCTTTCTCAGAGGTCGCATGTTTTGGTTCTAGGGCAAGCTGACCGCTCAGGGGAAGCTCTTGGGTCAGGACACATTCTGGGTCACAGAGCCTGAGGCTGGGGGGCTGCTGTCTGCCCGAGGGCGAGAGAGGCGCGTCTTCCTCTTTGAGCAAATTGTCATCTTCAGCGAGGCCCTAGGAGGAGGCACGCGAGGCGGAATGCAGCCCGGTTACGTATATAAGAGCAGCATCAAGGTGGGCTCTGAGGGAGGGCCTGCCTGAGACAGGGTGAGGCCCGGCGAGGCTGGCTGGCTGGCTCTCGGATGGTTGGAGGGGCCTGGACCCAGAGAGGGGCTGAGGAACCTGGGGACCATCTCCTGTCTGCCGGTTCAGGTGAGCTGCCTGGGCCTGGAGGGGAACCTCCAAGGGGACCCTTGCCGCTTCGCACTGACCTCCAGAGGGCCGGAGGGCGGCGTCCAGCGCTACGTCCTGCAGGCTGCCGAGCCTGCCGTGAGCCAGGCCTGGATCAAGCAGGTGGCACAGATCCTGGAAAGCCAGCGGGACTTTCTCAACGGTGAGGCCCATACCTGCTCCCCCAGCCCCAGGCCCTCTTGAATCCCTCACTGCCTCCTTCAGCCCCTGCCGTCTGATTGGCCCCACACTGAGTGACTCAGAAGCCCCTAAAGCCCCAAGTATTTCACACTAGCTGGTGGTCCCTGGGGGAGAGGGGCCGGCTGGGAGGGTGGTCTGAGCAGAGCCCAGCGTGAAAGGGGCTGTCTCTGCTATAACCTGCCTTCTCCCCCTGTCCTTGCCCAGCCTTGCAGTCACCCATTGAGTACCAGAGACGGGAGAGCCAGACCAACAGCCTGGGGCGGCCAGGGGGCCCTGGGGTGGGGAGCCCTGGGAGAACTCAGCCAGGAGACCGGGCCCAGGCCAGCACACGGACACCCATCAACGGCTCTCTCCCCTCCCTGCTGCTGATGCCCAAAGGGGAGGTGGCCAGAGCGCCCTTGCCCCTGGACACACAGGTATGAAGGATGGAGGGGCAAAGTGGGGGGAGGGACTCTCTTGTTCTGTGGTCCCCCCCAACATCTGCCCTTTCTTCAGTCTGCTCCTCCCTATTTCCCCTCCCTTACCCCCCACCCCCCACCCCTTTTAACTCTGCTAGAGGCTGACAGTGGGAGGGGCTTGGCCAAGGGCTTATACTGCAAAGAGAAGAGTGAAAAGTCCTTCTTGGCCTTTTTGCATCCTGTGACTCGATTCTTTCCTCAGGCCCTCCATGACATCCCCCAGGCTCCTCGGGACCCTCCCCCAGTCCCTGTGACTCCTCCAACCCCGCCCTGCCAGGCCAGACTTGCTAAGCTGGACGAAGATGAGCTGTAAGCGGTGAAGGGCACAGGGTGGTGCTCTCTCTGCGACCTGCTCCCCAGGGAGCTCCAGGGCCATGCCGGCGGTGACTTGGAAGCCTTCTCTCCTGAAGTGTGTGGAGGGGCGAGGCTGGGCAGCTCGGGGAGGAGAACCTGGACCCGCTCCCACCCCTGTGCATGCCTCACAGTCTCCCCAAAGGGAGGCGATGAGGGGGAGTGAGAGGGCTGGGGCAAGGGCCAGATAGAAACTCCTGCTTTAGTTTTTCCTGTTTTCTGAGAATAAAGGTTTTGTGATATCCCCGAGGCTGCTGTCCTGGCAGAGGGAAGGGAATTCTGTCGTGAGGGTACATGGGGCACAGTGGGGTAGAAGAGATCAGGCGCCCCCCTGGGCACACGGCGTGAGATAAATGTGGTCATGTGGTCATCTGTTCCTGGGGGTCATGTGGTCATCTATTCCTGCGTCCCTGCAGCTCAGTCCACCCTGAGGGCTTGCAGCCCCTGGAAAATCGCGGATCCTTGTATTCTGTCCTTTAGCCAGCTCCTCTGCCCTCCCCCAGATCTGCCCCCTGGTCTGTAACACCCCCAGGAAAGCCCAGTGTAGTGTGACCACCCACTCCCTGCACCGCCAGATGGCGAAGCACAGGATGCCCAGAGTACCTTTCCTCACGAGGACTCCTCACTCCGCCGAGGGAGGATGGGACGGTGCAGAGGGTCCTGGGCGCTGTGGCCCCTTCCTGGCTCCAGATCTCCTTGTCTTTGCCGTCTGTGAGGCCATCAGTCACGTCATACTGAGCAGGAGAGGTTCTTCAAACCTCAGCGTCGAGTGGGGAACCTATGGGGATCGTCACCCCTCCCAACCTCTGGAACAGAGAGAGCCGGGCGTGCAGAGATCCACGTCCAGATGCCCCGCCTGGGTCTTTGCGCATCCGTGTGTCCACTGTCCGTCTGTCCCCTGGGCTTGGTCACGTGCACTTGGACTTCCTCAGCAGACAATAGACTGCTGGGGTGGGAGGGTGAGGAGAGGCTGGAGACTCCCTGTGGGCCTGAGGTCCCCCAGGCCGACAATGGGGGGAGGGATCCGTAAGGGGAGGGTGACAGGACGTAGGGCCCAGATAAGACTTCTGGGGAACAATAGGAGGAATTGAAGAGGGGAGACCCACCCTCACTGCACCCCACCCTGGGGCTTTGGGGTCAGGGACTGGGGGACCAGCCGCTGATGGGGAGGGCGCTGAAGATTCTTGTGAGTAGAGGAGGGGATGGTGCAGAGAGCAGGATTCCAGAGAGGAGAGCCTTTGTATTCCTTAAGACCACAGGGGTGCAGAGGCCGGCAGGTGACCCCTCTGTACCTGAGTTAACCACACACCTGTTTCCGATGGCCTACTTTGTGAATAGAACTTGGAGTAATAAGTGTTGCTTTGGTTTTCTTTGGCTCCTAAGAAATAAAGTTTCCTATCAGTCCCCATCAGTGGTGGAGGTCCACTCACTCCTGGCGGCGGTGTGGGGCTGGCGGGCCTCTGCCGCCATCCCGGTCTGATGCACAGAGCTGCTTCCCACCTAGTGGACGGCACTGCTAAGGCAGCAGAGCCCCTTCCGCTTTCTTGGGGCAGGCTGTACCCCGTGAGGATTTGGAAGTGGGTTGGGGATTCCCAGTGGGCACTGAACTTGCTTGCTCCCAGGTGGGTGAGTGCACAGGGGCGGGGAAGGACCAGTGCCGAGAGAGGAGCCAGCCTCCATCTCTGCCCAGAGTGCACATGGGGAGAGCACCCGGAGTGGAGAGGCAGGGGGCAGAGGGCTTGGAACGCACATGGTGGGTGCTGGGTCTTAGGGGGGCTCTCGTCCTTTGGCTCCCCATACCTATCCATCGCCAGCCCCCAGCATCGGGTGGGCCAAAGTTGTGGGAGGAGCCGCCCAGCACTTACAGTGTCCTCCCACTCCGCAGCCCTGGCCCGGCCTCAGGCCCCAAGAGAGGGCGCCCTCCAGCGCCGGATTGGACCGTGCTTCAGGGAGGCGGGTCTCTAGCAGGCAGGCGGGAGGGCTATTTAAGACCCGGTCAAGCCGGAGCTGGCCAAGGGCAAAATGAGTGGACCACGGGGCGCCAGGACCCGCCCAGGCCTGGGAGAGACCTCCGACCTGAAGTACCCGCTGGGCACCAGGCTCAGGGAACCTCTCACTGAGGTTCGGTTCCAGCAGCTTTTCGGGGGCGCAGAGCAGGAACCCGAGCTCCCGGCAGAGTCCTTCTTGCCCAGGTTCTGGAGGCTGCGGGCCCGCGCTTGCTCCGGGCGGGGGGCGTGGCGCCTGCTGCAGGCGCGGCTGCCCCCGCTGCGCTGGCTGCCCTCTTACCGCTGGCGGGCCTGGCTGCTCGGGGATGCCGTGGCCGGAGTGACCGTGGGCGTCGTGCACGTGCCCCAGGGTGAGCGGCTCCGACCCTCGCTTGTCAGAGGCCCAAGCTCTGGAGCGCTTCCGTTGGGGAGCGAGGTGGTGGGTTAGTGGACTGGGGGCTGCGAGAGAAGGACCAGTTCGGGTAAGCACTGCGGAGCCCCAGCAGGTCCCCACCCCCATCGCCCCTCACCTGCGCCCTCCTGCCAGAAGTCTGGGGCCGGTTCCGGCTCAGGGAGCTGGAGAGAGGCAGGGTGCCGGCCCCCCACGACTTGGGCCGACACGGATCTGTGACTGCCTACGTCCCCTCCATGGCCTCCCACGGAGTCCCCTTAACTCCTAAGTTCCCTCACAGCGGCCCGACTTAGCGCCCCCCGGGGCCAGCCTGTAAGAGCGCGAGAAAGGGCAGGTCCTGGAAGCTGGGCACCCCCCACCTCTCCTTCCACTTCTCCCCAGGCATGGCCTTTGCCCTCCTGACCTCCGTGCCCCCAGTGTTCGGACTCTACACGTCTTTCTTCCCCGTCCTTATCTACAGCTTGCTGGGCACTGGGAGACATCTGTCCACGGGTGAGTGACTGGGGACTTCCAGTGACTGCTCTGTGGGGGGAGAATGGACAGCAGTCTGAGACGACCCAGCTCGATTCCTCTCTCCCTCTCAACTTCCCTTCCCTCCGTAGCAGCCCAGCTGGCAAACTGATCTTGGCAATGCTGGCAGGAGGGGCGCAAAGGAGGGCATTTATTAGAACCTGGGCACCCCAGGGAGTTTTGGTTAAAATGAATGCCTCTGGGACTTTCGGAAGGGAAAGATGAGATGCGCTGTCCCCCTCTTCTCCCCCAAGAAGTCCTCGAGGAGTCTGCAGGGGGTGGCAGTTTTGTTGGCAGGTTCACCCCCTCTGTGCTCCCTCCCCGCGGTTCCTGGCTGCTATGCCAGATCTTGACCCCCCGGTTTCCCCAAGAGCGGCAGATCTTGAGCGTCGCCCTGCGTGGGTATTATGGCAGGTGCTCTGCGTTTGTCGCCCTGCTCCAGGAACCTTTGCGGTCCTCAGCCTCATGACCGGCTCGGTGGTAGAGCGGCTGGTGCCCGAACCCCTGGCGGGGAACCTGAGCGCGGTCGAGCGGGAGCAGCTGGACGACCAGAGAGTTGGGGCGGCCTCGGCACTGGCCTTCGGGAGCGGGGCGCTGATGGTGAGGGAGGATCTGGGGAGCACTTGGGGAGATCTACACTGGCGGCCCGGGGAGAGGGAAGGCTGTGGTGCAGGGCG